GGAGGAGGAGGAGGGGGAGGAGGAGGAGGAGGAGGAGGAGGAGAGAAACAGTGGACTTTAACCTTGATTAGTTTCGAGCTTTCCCCAGCCATCATCGTGTGCACACCAACTCGGCTATCATACATGCACACAATACGACACCCCCGGTGACAACTTTTTTGGCGTTTATAACTCTTGTCACCGGGGTTTTGATTCTGTCGGGGGGGTGGTACCTTCGGTGACCCTGTTTCTTTATCTGAATACCATATTATGAGTGGTGGGGTGTTTTTCTTGCGTGGAACACGGCACGTCTGGCACGTCTAGTACACCGGAGCGGAAAAGCAACCTGCCCCAACTGCCCGCTACTCAGAATATGTGCGAGTAGAAGTTCGATGCCTTCCTCAAACTAGAATATTGAGCGAATGTGCCAAACCGCGACAAGCGCTGTAAGGAAACTAGGGAAGGGTGGGGGGGGGGNGGGCATTTTCCCGCTGTGCGTTTCACGTCCCTGCAGTACTCAAGGGATGCCCGTGCAACCACGCATTCTCTTCCTTGTAGACTTACAGCTTTCCGTTCTCCTGTTCGTTCTTTCTTGCTACCGCCCACCTTTTCGTATGACTCCCAGCTATGAAACGATAAACACAAGACCCGGTATTCATGATACTGGGGTATTTATGCCGTCGACACACCGTCTGGGTAACGCTAAGAAGTTGTATGGACACCACGTGATTGACACACAACGAGAAGGCAGGACGGTACAATGGCGACGATTAACTCATCAAATGAAAATATCCACTATGTACTAGTATTGCCAAAATGTTGAACTACAACTCTTCATTTGCAATACTCCAGTATATCGACAACATCTACCGCGCCCGCGTGAACGTTTTGTTCGAGGGCGTTAAATACATCCCCCGCTGCTGGGAACCAACGTCCTGTCCAACCACGGGTGCAGCTTGAAATTAGAAGATGAAATCTCGGCAACACGTTGTCATGGGGGTGTAGCTCAAATGGTAGAGCGGTTCATTAGCATTGAACAGGTAGGGAGATCGATGCTCTCCACCTCCACTTTTTTTTCCGTGTGCACGGCGGTGTACTCGCTCGATTTTTTTTTCCGAGTACTGCTGTTATGTACTGTTTGCTGTTTTCAACTTGCTGTGTTTTGTATGCATACTTGTTGTATGATGTGTATCGGAAATTCTGACCGTGTCCCTGTGTTAATTCATCCCGTGAGTTTGGGGGCAACCCCAGCGATCTAAATGTTTCTTCGTTGACTTTGGTTGTTCAGAGTTCAAGTCTACCGCAACATGATGTTTGTCAATAAAAACACGTACCGTTGAACATCATTTCTTCTTGCAGGGCACAGAGGCTACATACAGTACTCGAGTGTTCAGATAGTGCGAAACGAGTACAGGCAGTGTCTTCCATCATCCCGCCCCTGCACAAGATTCCGGGCCAGGCCGTTTCAGAAATACATATATATTGTTGTGGTTTTTGTCAAAAATTAATAACCGTTTCGGTCTCCGCTCAGTACCCTTCTAATTTCTATTTTTGTTTTTGTCTTCCATTATTGGACTGTCGTCTGCCCCTCTCGCCCCTATCCTCCACTTGTACCAGCTAGACGACCCAACCGGGGTCACATAGGAGGGGGGGCTTGGACCCCCTCCTGCGGTTCCTGCCTGAGATATTTTTATCGCGAGAAGGGTA